TGCTTGGCATTTTACACCTAGCTGTTGGGACTTTCATGATGGGGGTTGGTGGGCGTCGCTCAATACCAACCACTACTGGTCTCCTTAAGGCCGACTTGTTGGTAATATTCTTCCTACACTGGCTCCTCAAATGTCTGTGCTTTCCACAGTTCCAACAACTTTTCTGGATACCAGCTTTTCCTGCTGTGGCACCTCCCCTGTGTTGAAGTTGCCAGCATTGAGCTCTCTTGTGCCCAGGTTTGTTACAGTGCCAGCAAAGTCCCTCAAACCTCTCTGAAAGCTGACCTTTTCTGGCCTTGAATCCAGATGACTGTACCAACCTCGGTACCTCTGTGCTGGACTTAACGTAGGATTCAAATTCGAGTGCTCTGGCCATTGCATCATACATGGTAGAGGGGTGTGCTTGCTTCACTTGTATCTTAAGTTGTGGACTGTCCAAGGCATCTACGAACTGATCCCTCAACAACAACTTGAGGAGATTGGGTGGTGCAGTTGGGTAGGCCTTGTGTGCCATGCTTTCCAATGCCTGTGCCAGCTCTTGCAGGCTTTCCCCTTTAGCACGGGCTCTCGTCCTAAACCTAGCCCTGTAGACTTCCGTCTGATTTTGGGTTCCGTACCTGAGTTCTAGAGCCGCTACCAGTGCTCTATAATTGTGCCTGTTGTCTGCCGACAACTGTCCAAGTATTTCCAGTGGTTGTCCTTTCAATCTCGTTGCTAGATATAATGCTTTCTGCTCCTCTGTCCATCCATTCATCTCTGCTAGTAACTCAAACTGTGCTCTATGTGCTTCCCACCGTGCTTTCCCATCGTATTCCTGTGGCTTCCTTCTCACTGAATCACTCCTATTACTGGCATTCATATCTGGGATGTGACTTCTAACGGGACTGAATATGTCTGCATTAGGGTTTAGCTGCAGGGTCTGGATAGGGCTTGTCATTGTCTGGGGCTCGTTAAGTCGATCGTTAATGCATCCTCCTTGTGTAAAAGACAAAAAGTCGTCCTTTACCGTATCTAATTCGCTTTTAAATTTACTAATGTTTTCTATTTGTACTTCTTGCCACTGTTATAGTCTCTCTTCTTGTTTCTTTTCTTTTTCCTCCAACAACTGCTGTAACTTCTCTTCTTGTTTATTTTCTTTCTCCTCTAACTACTGCTGTAGTCTCTCTTCTTGTTTATTTTCTTTCTCCTCCAGCCACTGCTGTAGTCTCTCTTGTTTATTTTGCTGTTCGAGCTGCCATTGTTGTAGGTTTTCTTACCACTTCTAAAATCTTTCTTCTTGTTTCTTTTATTTTTCCTCCAACAACTGCTGTCATCTCTCTTCTTGTTTATTTTGTTGTTCGAGCTGCCATTTTTGCAGGTTTTCTTGCAACTGCTGTTGTCTCACTTCTTGTTTCTTTTGTTGTTCGAGCTGTCATTGTTGCATGTTTTCTTGCAACTGCTGTTGTCTCTCTTCTTGTTTCTTTTGCTGTTCTTGTATTGCTACCATCAAATCTGCTAAGCTGTAGTTTGATTTGCCGCTTCTCGTTTCCATTTTCTCTTTTTCTTCTTTTTTTTTATCCCACTTTCTGACACCAATTTGTTACACCTCCAGTCGTTAGTTGATTTTCCGTAACTTCGTTTCCACGAAACTTTAGTGACACAAGTCCTTTCTTAATAAAACTGGTTTATTCTTTCTTAATATAACTTTACCGATACACTTATTTTCAACAGTCGCTCTATAACAACGAACGTGTTCAACTTCAACAATACTCTCTGACTGCAGTTCAATTACTCACTACACTGTTTCCGTCACGTTGTGAGCGTCTTATATATATACCAGACTAACACATATCTAGTAAATGCTAGGGCATTCTTGAAGTAACAGGATATTTCTAGAAATACGTGGCGTGATCTAGTCACGTGACCTCGCTGACGCAACAATAATAAGTATTTCAACTGTAACTTGAAATAAAATATTACTAGGAACTATAGCCAAATTATTGTGGGGAAGAACTCCTCACAAAGAATACCAGAAAGAGAGAATTGTTATAGATGCAGGAAACCTGACCATTACAGCCGAGATTGTAAGAAATCATCAGCAGTTAAAACACCGAGGATAGAATACCCAAAGGATGGGCTGGTCTTCCATCCCAACCAGATCAAAGGAACAACAAAGAGTTAACCAGACTATAAACAGAGAGGTATTAATTATATTGGTTACGACAGCGGAGGTCACGTGACGCTAGTAACACGTCATATTCTCGTAGCTTCGTGAATCCTCGGGAGGTTACTAGATGTTATGTATTCTTTTATATAAGATGGCAACAATGTAATGTAATGTAATGGTAAGTGAACTGCGGACAGAGAGAGAGAATATTGTTGAGTTGAGCACGTGAGACGTTCGTTGTGAATTATAGCGTTTGTTATAGCGCGACTGTGGAAATTAAGTATATTGCAAAGTTGTATTCAGAAAGAATAAACCAGTTTTATTTAAGAAAGGACTTGCGACGCTAAAGTTTCGTCGGAACGAAATTTACGGAAAATTAACTAACGAAGGAGACGTAACAAATTGGTGCCAGATAGTGGGACGGAAAAGAAAAAAAATAGGAAACGAGAAGACGGCAAATCAAACTACAGCTTAGCAGATTT